GGTAAATGTTCAGGGTCTGCTTATGACTGATAACATGTGGTACTCCATTCTCTGTTTCTGTGATAAATCACTGAGTATGATAGACTGTAAATTCATCCAAGTTGCTGCAAAGTCCATATGTTTGCCCTTCTTTATGGCTGCATAATATTCCATCGTGTATATGACCACATTTTTTTTAATCCAGTGCAGTTTTGATGGGCTTCACGGTTGGTTTCATGTTTTTGCTATTGTGAATAGAGTAGCAATAAACATGCGTGTGCAGGTCTCTTTTTTGTAGAATGATTTGAGTTCAGGAATAATATTCTTATCACAGAACACAGTTGGAATCCTGGCAAATTTCTCTCTTCTTTATCATTATCTTTGTCTTTCCCACACTGAATGCAGTCTGAAGTCCACAGATGTGACTCTTAGACATCTAATTATATCCAACTCCTTGGTCATTTTCTCTAAAGAAATTCCTCAGCATTGATAACTTGTGGGCTGAACCATATCTTCAATGATTTGGAATGCAAACCTCTTTTGTGTTGAGAGAGTGGACAGGGGTATGCCTATTGGCACCATATATATAATTAGTATAGCATTTATAGGACAAATGTATCAATAGTATGTGGTTATGCCTAGTATGTGGAGTAGAGACTGGTTTAAAGAAACAGCACATTTGTATACGTAACCCTGAATTGTACCCCACATCTTTAAGATAAAAAATTAAAATTAATTAATTAATAATAAATAAATGAAGAAACAACAAATCCATTCTATAAAGTCATTACATTACAAATAGAAGCACTGGCCTTGTGCAGTGGTTAACTCCTATAATCCTAGCACTTTGGGAAGCCGAGGTGAGAGAATTGCTTGAACCCACAGATTTGAGACCAGCCTGAAAAACTTGGCGAGACCTCATCTTGACAATAAATCAATAAAAATTAGCCAGGCGTGATGGTGCATTGCTGTAGTCCCAGCTACTTGGAAGGCTAATTCGGAAAGCAGGTTGACGCTGGGGTGGCCACGAGCATGCCACTGCACTCCAGCCTGGGCAACAGAGTGCAACTCTGACTCAAAAAACAAAACAAAACAAATAGAAGTACCAGCATCAATTTCTAGATTAACTAGAAGAATCTGTCATTTTTCATAACTGTCACATAAGCCAATGTTACTTTCTCAATTCAGCAGTATTGAATAGTGGCCAGAATTATTGACACATTAGTTTTGCATTGATTTAATTGCTTATTTTCCTTTCACTTACTGACATTACTTTGGGTTAGGTTAATTCTTTACTACATATATTCTCTATTTCCAAGTCAGAGAATACATTCACATAGTTGGCAATACATACTCCTGTGAATATTCATTGTAACACTGGGTTATTTTTGTCACACTCAACTAAATCATAGTTGAGGGGCCAGTGGGGTGAAAGCAGCAGGAGCACATAGCACCTGTTCCAATAATTATCCTCAAGTGCAACTATTGAAACAGGCTGATGTAACCTAAAGACCAGTTTTACCTTGTAGCTACTGAAACAACCTGCCAACTCTAAGACTAGATTTACCTGATGCTATCCCTTACCAGTCAGGGCTCCTCAAAACTTCACTAGTGCCAATGAGTTTGTTTTAAAACAATACTAACATTTCTCTAATAAAACTACCTACTTTTTCTTTGCTCTTCAGACATACCAAAGACCAACTTGTCCGTGTATATGCACCATATTGCAATTTGCTTTTATATACATTCTCAAAAGGTTTTCTGTATTCATCTTTTGTGTGTGTGTGTGTGTGTGTGTGTGTGTGTGTGTGTGTGTGTGAGAGAGAGAGAGAGAGAGAGAGAGAGAGAGAGAGAGAGAGACTGGATTTCACTCTGGTGCCCAGGCTGGAGTGCAGTGGCATGATTACCAATCACTGCAGCCTTGAACTGTGCTTAGGCAATTCTTTCACCTCGGTCTGCTGGGTATCTGGGACTACAGGCACATACCACCACACTCAGTTAATTTATTTATTGCATTTAAAAATTTTTTATTTTAAAGATATGGTGTACAATTCAGGGTTAGGTACACAAATGTTTATTATGCAGTTACCTTTGTTGATGAGGCATGCCCCCTCCTCCCCTGGTAGTTTCCCCCTACTGCCAATCCCGCCCCTCCCTCCTCTGGCAGTTTCCCACTACTGTCAATCCCCCGCTTTTGTCTGAGTTGGAGTCTCACTCCTTTGCCCAGGCTGGAGTGCAGTGGTATACTCACAGCCATGCCAGCGTTGACCTGCTGAATCCCTTTCTTAAGGTATTATGGTAATTGCTCAAGGTTTACCTGTAAGTGAGAACATATGGTACGCAATTATTTGTTTATGTGATAGATCAATCAGTATTATAGACTCTAAGTCCATCCAAGTTGCTGTGAAGTTCATAATTTTGCCCTTCTTTAAGTCTGCATAATATTCTATCATGTATATGGACTACTTTTTAAAAATCCAGTCCTCTTTCAATGGGCAGTACGGGCTAGGCTAATTATTTACTACATGCATTCTCTATTTCCAGGTCAAAGAATACATCCACATTCACAAATAAATCTGTTGCTATTAGAACTGACATTTTTATTAAGCAAAGCCTGTATTAAGTACACCTATTTTATTATAGCCACAAAACTATTCCTCTTGGCATGGTTTCAAACAACAGAAAACCATTACTTATAATTTATCAATTCTATTTTATTATAAAAGCATGTATTCCTTTTTATAAATACTGTAATAAATCAAGGGACATTTCATCAGCCTTTGGGCATAAAAGCCTTTCAAGACATAAGTATCGAGAAAGGGTCAGGGCTGGCACCACTTGCTAATACTGAGTACCTGTTACCAGTAAACAAACTGTCCTTTCAGGCCCATCATGGTCATACCCGTCATCTGAAATTCTGATAAAACTGAGAAATATTGTTGAAGTGTTGTTCACTCAACATTCTACCTGATAGTATAGTATGTAACCTTTAAAATTTTTCCAGGGCCATTTTTATATAAGCACAATTTTTGCCTCATGAGTTTAAGGCAGAAATGAGCCATGATTAGACAATCTGAATCCATACAAGTTTCTGCGAAGTCCGTGATTTTGTCCTTCTTTATGGCTGTGTAAACTTTTTAAAAAACTAAGACACAAATGTATACATTAGTCTAGAGCTATGCAAGCTCAAGATAATCAGTATTACTGTATTTCACCTCTATGCCTTGTCCCACTGAATGGCCTTCAAGGGCAATAACATACACAGAGCTGTCATCTCCTCTGACAACAATGCTTTTTTCTGGACTATGTCCTGAAGAACTTGCCTGAGATTGTTTTACAGTTAACTTTCTTTTTAATAATAGAATAATAAAAATACTCTAAAATGATGGCAAAAGTATAATATAGTTTACATAAACTGGTAACACGGTCATTTTTTATAATTATCAAATGCCATTTATTGCACATAATTGTATTTGCTATACTTTTTTTTTTTTTTACCTAAAGTGGAAATTTTAATGTTTCTTCAGCCAGTCATATGGTATTTATTTATTTATTTATTGACTTTTTTTTATTATAAAGATGTGGGGTACAATTCAGGGTTAGGTATACAAACATTGA